TATTGAACTGCCAGCCATTGACATTATGGTACCTATGTTTATGGCCATAAATTGGACTAAAGTGCTTGCTGATCAACCCGAAATGCAAGATTATTGTGCAAAATTGAAAGTAAAGTATGAACAATCAAATTATACCATCGATAACCGTAATGAAAAATGCGAAGAATACATCTATTTAATGTTTCTCGAAAAGTTTCCATTTGTTACATTTGACGATTTACCATATAAGATTGATGTAAAGAAAATTAAAGAAGATACTTTTGACCTTACAAAGCGTGTAGATAAGCAATTTGCCGCATCGTCTGAACCCCTGTACCTTCATTGTGAAACAACGTGTTATTACAATGGATTGGCAATTTTTATGCGCATATTTTTTCTCAATGGAACCAAACCATTCTCTGTCAGTACCAATTTTGTTTCATTGGCTCTAGGTATTGTGGCCTCTTTTGATTGCTCTTTTCCAATTCAGTTTGGTATACGATTTAGTGACCCAGCTGATTTACCCAGTTACGATTCCAGTAAATACTTCATGATTACTAGTGTACTCGGTTCATTCCCAGTTGTTACGATAAGTTCTGTAAAGACAGTCATGAATTCTCTCGAGTATCCATACGAGACCAACTGTCGTCATTACAATAAAGGTAAAAGCATATCCAAATGTATGGATAAATATACACTTGGTCAGTCAACGCCTTACCTGGATAAATATTCGGTACATGAATGGGATGAACACCCGAGTTATTTGGGTTTCAGTGATCCACGTAATGAAAGCGAGAAAGTCATTCATGATGAGTTGGATGCATTCATCAATTGTAACCAAGAAGCAGCTGCCACTGAATGCGAGAAAACAATTTATTTAGTCGAAGGAAAGATTTTGGATGAAACGATCGATAACAGAAGCACAATAGTAATTGTACCTTCTTTGAATTTAAACATGAATCGTAGTGTTCACCCAGTTCTACCTTGGGATGAATATGTTATCTACATTGGACGCATCGTTGGCTTCTGGTTTGGTATATCAATGTATAATCTTATATTTAAGATATTTACTGGCATAAAAACCAGAAGTTTAATTTTAAGATTCGAATGAAAAGAATGAAAAAACGAATGAACTTTGTAACGAATGCTAACCAGCGTTTATTTCAACATAAATTGGAATTAAAATGTATGATGAAATTGCCAACAGTTTTCAATTTTTTTCTTTGAAATCAGAATACACTTATTGGTCAGATATACCCTCTGTCATGCCTTTCGTTTCGCAAATGTTAAAGGTTAAAGGCTGTCAAAGTTGCTTTTTTCATAGGTATATGTGCTTAATGCTTAAGTAATTTGGATCTATGATAAAATCAGTTTTTTAATATTTCTCAATAGATTCAAATCTTTTTCAATAGGCTCAACCTATGCAAAAATTGATACGTATATTGCAACTTTTAAACGGAGAATATGACAGAGGTTCATATCTGCCCCATTATTCTGAGGCAATAAAATTGAAAACAGTCTGATCGTTTGGGAACCATTCCTTGTCAGTAAAAAACGAAGGTTTGATGTTAAAGTTAAGGTTGACCTTTTTTATACATTGAAATGTTTATCATGGAAATAGCAATATCCTATTTCCGTTCTGATTACAAAATTCGTTTAATAGTTATAAGCAAATTAACGATTAACGGTTATCTGTTAATTTATTTCATGCGTCAGTCCTGAAAAATGGAATGAAAAAATATCGTGTATTGTATTAATAATAGAAACAAGTTGAAAACGCGAATAACTGATTTGACAACATTTACATTCAAAAATCAATTTGCATTAATATTTTGTGTTAATAATCGAAACGATAAAATAATCAACAAATGATTAGGATCAATAAATATGAATCAAAATAAAATATTGGTAAGCATGTAGTGTGTAAAGTAAAGCTTGGTGAAAGTATTGGGAATTGAACATTTACAAATGCTATGAATCTAAAATATTAGAATTACTCTTTGATAATGAAATCTCGCTTTAAATATTTCTATTAAAAATAGAATAGCCAAAATTTTGGATTTTTGACCCTTATTCAGAACGGATTGAACCATTTATCAATCGAAAGCTTATGACGAGTACAGTATTCTTCTCTAAAAATCAGGCCAAAAATCGTATCCCCTATCGTATCGAAAAATCCTTGCGAGCCCATAAAAAAACACATCAGACATAACGTTTCAGATAGAACTTTGCAAGCTAATTTCAATAGTGCTATGCATGTTGCGTTAAATCTGCGGCTTTTTGAGATATTGCCCTTTGAATTTTTTTACTCTATGAAACTGGATATTCAAAGTCATGGCGTTTCTTCTTACCTCATGAAGACCAGATCAGACCTTCATAGCATACATAACATAGCAAATACTTAGCTACTGTAGCATATATTATTAAACACCCTTGACTCTAAGATGGAAGGCCAAAAATAATTTTCCAAATGTGCGGTTTTAGATTTTTCAATAAGGCGTAACAACGCCAGTGCGTTGTTTCTAGGCACTTCATTTACTTGCCTTGTAAGTGTCAAAGTGAGTTAGAAGCTTGTATTTGTACTCAAAACCCTGCTAAATACAGTACAATCGTCGTTATTGTAACTAAAATGAATTTTCCCAATACTTTTCACTAAGTTTTATTATTAATACTTTGTTTCATTTATTCATGTAAACGATTTATTATACTATTATAATATACATACTGATTGGCGTATATGTGATTTTGGATATAATGTTTTATGAAATTGTTTAGACAACAAGTCAAACATGTGCAGCAAAATGCAAGTCAAAGTTTCATCGATTATCGGCCTCTTCTGTCTAACTGGTTGCTTCTATCAAATATACGATATAACAAAGTCTTATTTACAGTTTAAAGTTCGTCATGATGTTGCTTATGATTATTCAACTTCTATTGAACTGCCAGCTATTGACATCATGGTACCTATGCCTATGGCCCTAAATTATTCTATAATTCTTGCTACTAATCCTGAAGAGATGAACTTGATTTGTGCACAATTGAACAAAAAGTATAAAGAATTGAATTATAAAATTGATGATTCTCATGGAAGGTGTGAAGATGCTATTCCATTGAGTATACTCGCAAAAGATCCGATTGCCTTCTCTCTCAATGTATCCGCAAACATCACAGTACAAGACATTCATTTGGCTAGTATTGATCTTGAACATCAAGTAATAGAGATTTTCGTCCCATTTTTTGGTTCCTTAAATCATGAGCATTGTAAGACAACACGCTATTACAATGGATTGGCCATTTTTATGCGCATATTTTGTCTCAATGGAACCAAACCATTCTCTGTCAACACCAATTTCGTTTCAAGGAATCTAGGTTATTCATATTTTTTAAGGTACTCTTTCGGAATTCATTTCGGCATACGATTGAGTGACCCGGCTGATTTACCCATCTTTGAACGGAATAAATACTTCATGATTACTCGTGAACCCGGTTCATTCCCAGTTGTTACGATAAGTTCTGTAAAGACAGTTATGAGTTCTCTTGAATATCCATACGAGACCAACTGTCGTTATTACAATAAAGATAAAAGCATATCCAAATGTATGGCAGAATATACACTAAGTCAATCAACGCCTTACCTGTTTAAAACTGCGATATATGAATGGAATGAACACCCGAGTCATTTGGGTTTCAATGGAGACAATAATGATAATCAACGTAATGATGGCAATAAAGTCAACCAGGGCGAGTTGGATGCATTTATCAATTGTAACCAACAAGCAGCAGCTACTCAATGCGAGAAAACAGAATATTTATTAGAAGGCAAAATATCGGATCAGGAAATGGAATATGGTTTGATATTATTTAAACCTTCATGGAAAGCAAACATTAATTTGAGTGTCCATCCAATTCTGCCTTGGGATCAATATGTTATACTAATTGGAAGCATCGTTGGCATTTGGTTTGGTGTATCAATGCTTGATTATATGCTCAAGATAACTACTATTATAAAAACCACATTCACAAGCTTAAAACACAAACTAAATAATGAAACAAATGAAATTGTCGTTGATTACGACTACACACAATGAATTACAATAAAAGCTTTTTATATGAATACTTTTGTGTAGTTTCATTTAATCCCAATCCCGCTCTGAAGTCAATCAAAAAGAGTTGAATTCTTGAATCTCAGGTTGAGCCTTAATCAATCAAAAAGCAATTTCCTAATCTAATATTAAGAGTGAAAATTGTCAAACTAAATCAAATACATTTTTGGCAAAATCAATGTAAATGCAATGTTTAGTATTACCTTTAACATTTTCAGAAATGCTGAGACAAAATTTTATAAAATTGATACATTTAATGGATAATCGTTTATCTGGCACATCTCATATTATCATTGATGAAATCAGATTGATTATTAAGGAATTAAATTGCTTGAAATAGTCAAAATCTGAAATGATATGATCAATGATCTTAAAGGTTAACTTCAAATAAGTAATCTTTGCGTGTTGACATTTGGTGTGTTTCCTCACTTATTATTACATTTGAATCAAGATTAATATTGATTGAGAGAGAACATGTTTTATCAAATTGGATTAACAACTAAAGTAAGATGGCATTTATCAATGGGATCAACAGTAATTGATAATCTAGCAAAGTTAAATTGCCTTAAGGTCAATCAAATATATTTCTTATTAATATTAATAAGTGAATTTATGGTTACATTTGATTGGCAAAAAAACCAATGAACCAAAATGCTGTTGATTATGAGGACATCGACGATGAAGATTAGTTGAAGCAATTGAATCAACAAAAAAAATGAATTGAAACTCGCAGATACAGATTAACATGGGTGTCGACTGAGCCTCAAATCATATCCATAATCACCTTCTCATTAATGGCAATTAAATGACTTTTCAAAGCTCATAAATTGACTTCTTAAACCCTTTTAGCTGCTTCTTCTCGTCCTAATCATTTAAATGGTCTAATAAATAATAATTTGGAAAATTAAATTTGAGCAATTAGAGAGAGAACATGTAATATTAATAAGAGAGTAAAGGTAATTATTTGGTAAAATAAGTTACAATCACAATCATTTTACTCCTTGAAACCATTAATTACGCTTAATTGAACATTTAATTTGTGCGCAAGCAAATGGCAAACAACTCAATTGATTGTAATTAATTAGTGGATAGAGAGAAGGAGAAGCAAAAATCAATTTTGGTCAACAAGATTGATAATACAAATGAAGGTACATTAAAAAGAGCAATTAAACAAAAGCAAGAGTAAATTATTATAACATTAACTAAACTAACACCATTGATATTAAAAGGTAACCACAAAGTTGGCGTATTAAAAATGATTGGTGTTGGTTGAAATGTTGAATAATAATAATATTATTATTATTATATTAAACTGTAATTTATAATGGAAACCATAATAGATGATAATATATTTAAAGCTGTCAGTTGAATTTCCATTGCAATTACAATTTTTGCTGCTGATAATTACAATTTCATGTGTTTCTTGCCAGTGAATAGGTGATAACTTGTAGCTACTTGTGAGTGTAAATGAATATCAAGAATGTCTCCTCCAAATCCATTAGATTGTGGTGGTAAAAAAGGTATGATGATGATCAAGAAAATCAGTAGCTAATTGGCCCAAGGCATTGGAAACATGATGAAGAAGATGAAGAAAAATCCTGACGTAAAATGAGACACAAGATGATTTTTAATCTTTACAAAGTTGAAACTTGATTGGTCTTATCCGTTTTTTTTCCTCCTTGACTTTTCTTTCAAGAAAAAAATGTTGAGGCCAGTTTTTGCTCTTTACTTTGACTCCATTTTGTTGTTGCAAGTAATAAATTATCAAACAAGATGAGTAATCGCCACTTAGGTTACCCACGAGAGATACGAAAATCCACTTTTAAATGTCATCCTCATCTTCATCTTACGTAGTAATGTTGGTAGTAGTAGCATCATCATTATAATCGGAAGAGTACAGGTAATAGCAAATGATGAGGACATAATGTGAGAAAAGTAGAGGAAAAAAATGGTGATTAAATTAATTTCATACTATCACGAATAGGCAACAACATCATTATCATCTTGACTCTCTATTTGAGTGACTACTTGATGCATTTGTTTCAAGCAACTGATATACTGGACTTGTATTAAGTACTTACATGGACCTACAAATTAAAAAAAAACTTGAACCAAATTTGTTGTAGCTTTAAAATAAAATGATTAACCATTAATTAACAGTTTTGCAAATCACGATCAAATTGGTCTCCTTATTGTTATCGTCTTCTTTATATTCATTACAATTGAGGCCTCAATTAAACCTACAAAGAAGAAGGTTAAAAGTAATTAATAATGAGGCTAAGGAAAATAAACTGCGATTTTTAGCTGATTATTATGCATTCACTTATTTTTGGTGTTTTTTATTGATTTTTACCAACCAATTATGGATATCAATCAATATTGACCAGACAGTGTTCCTGGGTTAACATGAAGTTAGATTACAATTGACTTCAAACCAAAGATTAAACACTTTAATCTTTGCTCTGAACCAACATTTGAGTGGATAAATGTATGGAAAACACTCTTTTGGGTGCTCCGAGAAAGGCTCTTGTTGGGATGAAATGAATATTCCCTGTTTTATGCATTGTTTTTGATGTAGCGTGTTGTTATAACCATTAATCAATTTTATACATTTTTTTGTAGCAAATATCATGCTATTTCTTACCCAGAGTTCTGTAGGCCGGGCATAAAGATGGTGTTTGATGATGAGATTGGAAGCTGAATGAAGAAGAAGAAAAAGAGTTGGGAAACATTTAGAGTTCATCATTTTCATTTTCATGATAATGCTTAAGGGGTCTTCAGTGAAAATTGTTACCTTTACATCTACCATGAAAAGCAATATACGCAGAGTACAAGCTCTTGGATGTCCTGTGTGTTCATTATTTATCATGTAAGGAAAAGAGAAAAGAATCACTCCCTTACCACCCTACCCTCCCTCCATCAAAACCTCCTCCTTTTTTCCTCTTTTCAATCCTCATCAGCTCAGTCAGCTAAGGCTTTGCATCATTTACCAGACTGGTAATATTTTATTCATTGCTTTGTAGAAGATATTAAAGTTGATAATGAATTGAAAGATGAGAATGATGATGATGATGATAAACCAAAAACTAAAGCAAAATAAAACAAAAATGGTATGAAGCAAGATGAAGCAAAAGCAAAAAGAAAGGAAATAAAACGTAACAGACTCACCCGTCGATATAAACTCTGTTAATGAGTTTATTCAAGGTTTCACCTTATTTATTAGATACTTGAATATCTATCTGGACTTTATTTAATAATAAAAACATAAAAAATTGAATAAAAAGAGTAAAAAATCTGAATAAAATTTCAATAAAATTGTAGTTAGAAACAATCACGAAAAAACAAAACAAAAATAATGTAAAAATTTAAAATTTGATTTCAGTTAAATATTTAAATTTATTATTACTCAAGAGAAGGCGCTATTAACAGTTTGTGCAATTTCAATTTGTTTTTGCTTTCAATAGCAATATTAACTCTAGATAATCAACTTTTAATTGCAATTGATTGCATTTTAAGTATACTTTAATCAACTTTTAAACATATCCAGGTAAGCCATAAATGTCACTCTTGAATTTTAATATTTTATATTCATTAATGTTGTATTAATTATCACCATTTGTTTACGCTTTTCTTGTTCCAGCTATCGGTTTGATAGATTCAAAAGCAAAGAAATGATATAAACCAAGGAGGAATATGAATTTGATAACAATCCTTTCAGGTAAATTTACTTTTCTACTCTGCCTATAGTAATAATCATCATCAGCTCTTCATTTTAACCATGATCATGATTTTAACAGTCCGAATCCTATAATATTGATGGTCATTAAGGAGGAGGAGTTTTCTCGCCTTTTATTTCCAATTGTAAAAACCATTAATTGATTTGATTGGCCATCGAAGAGAAAGAAAAATAAAATGAAAAAGAAGAAGAGTGAAAAGATGATGTTGATAATGAGGTTGATGATGATTATTATGATTAAGCTTATGATGATCAAGAGAAAAGTAAGAAAAAAAAAGAAATAAAAGTTAGGTGTAAACATTTATCTCTTCTTATATTTACCTTGGTTGAACAACATTTTAACATCGTTAGCATAATCAATTTGACAGGTTTGAAAAGAGCCAAAAATCAGAGGGGAAAAGCTGAAACCACACCCGAAGATGTACTTGTAATTAAAGATGCAAAAAAAGTGAGAGATTATATGATAAATTATGGACCAAAAAATGTTGAGGAAAAGACCTGGATACCTGGAAAGGCCAAAATGAAGACGCAGATGAAGTCTGACACTAGGATCGATTTGGAAAACGTTTGTTTGATTGAAAGGAAACAATTGGCACTGTCATCATCATTATTATCAAGTGTTACAAGCAACATCCCTTCCACCCACTTTTCCTCCAGTGATACCTTCCTCCTTGCCATCATCGTCAATCTTTGACAGATTACCTTAAAAGCTGTTGATCTAAAGCAAAACGTTATAATGAAGAGGTTACCATTGATATTTAATTTTTAAAATACCTATTTGGACTTGAATAATTAATACCAAATGTTTGGTGTGTTTGGATAAAATTAAGGTTCAAATAATAACTGACAATCAAATAATAATGGTAACATTTAACACCCAATATATATTATCAGTGGTACTCTTCATTTTCATATCAATGTTTTGTTTTTTGTATCCTTAAACTTACCTGAATCGGTAACATTTTGTTTTCCCCAACCTATTTTTTACCATTTATGGCTACTTATTAGCCTTTTTCGTTGCTCATCATCATCAACATTTTTATCTTCCTCCTCCTGCTCTGACTTATTTCTCTATTTATGCCTACAGGCGATGAGAGTTTACTTTTATTTTTTTTTTCTTCGTTGCTTCTCATCTCTCCCGTTGAGATTGAGAAGTTAAGAGAGAGGAAGAAAAGTCTTTGTCAGATTTTTTCAAGAGCTTAAGATGATGGCTAAGGAAGGAGGAGGAAGAAGAGAAGGAGGGAGTCAAAAGGAAAGAGAGACTCGCCCAAAGATGAAAACAATAAGAATTTAAATTCTCACCAAAAAAAGATTTTCTCTCAGCAAGAAACATAAAGACATCCATCTCTGTCTTGGTCTGCATGTCCTATCAAGATGAGTTAACAATTGGTTTTAGTAAATCAATAGATACATATCCATTTATAAATACATCAATACAATTAGATATTGTTTTCCAACTCTAAAGTAATTTGATTAAGTTAATTACAGGAGATGCTGTTGGAGGAATCAAAGATAACCCGAGAAACTAAACATCGCAACGCGTTTGTTGCCATTTACACAGCTGTTCAATTGGCTTTGATGCATTTTACATGTTCATCAATTTATCCAAACCTACAACCCATTGAACCGAGTGGAAATTATTGAAATGAAATGAATTATTTACTTTAGATTTACTCAGTTTATTGAATATTGTTTTCACTGTTGTTTGTCAAGCACAAACTAGCCTCAAGTAAACACCAGCTTTTTATTATCAGCTTGTAGTGTAACCCTTTTTTACTATTGTTGTTGTCGGATCATTTTCAATTCACAATTGAAATGAATCACGCCATAGGAAAATAAAAGGCGTTACCCTGTTCTATTGAAAAAGAAAAAATAGCGATTTTCCATTGTTGAGTTGACCTTAGGTCAAGATGTTGAACATGCTTCCATTGAAATTCATAAAGCAAAGATTTAAAAGTGGCCTAGACTGATCATTCTTATTCATTGGAAATGTTATCTTTAAGATGGTTACTGCTGTTAAACTGTAAAGAGCAAAGGCTAAATGATAAGGTTATTCAGGTCAAAGATAAACTTTGATACTTTTGACATTATCTTGAGCTTTAAATTTTGAAAGGGTCAATATTATTGAGGCAAAAAAAGTAATCTTTATGCATTTCTGATTGAAAACTGTTTCTTTTTGCTTTTCTAATTTTCACTCTCTTGCTGTGGTCCCAATTGCAATCTTATTTCAACTTGAAATTAACATTTCACATGTTTAACCTGTTAACGATTATCTTTGTTGATTTGAATAATAATAATCACGCACCATTACAACCCATCAATCAAATTGAACACAAAAAGTGTAACCAAATAAACACTTGAAACTATTTTTTTCTGGCTTGGATGATTGTGACTTCTCGCTTTACCTCATGCAACCAAACGTTTGGCTTCAATTAGAGATGATATTGATCAGGTTATTTTCCTATCATCAGGGCGATTAACAATATTGGTTGGCTGGTTATATTAAAATATCAAGAATCGTCCAGATTTATGTCTTGAAAGCTGGAAATCATTGATGAAAATAAAGTAAATAAAGTAAAGTATTTATAAATCGTATGGCTGTCGAACAAGCATTTAAAACAAACCTTTGTTGACCAATAAAAAGGTAAAAATGGCAACAAGGATAAGGGTAAATACAATGGAAGGTTAAAGAAGTAAAGAAATAACTCTTATTTGCTCATAAAGGTAGGAATAAGATGAGTAGAGAATTGATTCAAGATAATTAGCGTGAACAGTTTAAATTGTGAGATTGAAGGTAAGGTTCAACTGTAGGTTCAACTCAACGTATTGACAAAACAATAAGACTTTTTTTTGTTTAACTTTAAGTTTTTGAACTGGTCATTGCAATATATCTTGAAGAAGATGATGAAAAATGGCCAAGTTTACCTTAGCAGGTTAACATGATCAATAGATATTACCTTACCTACACTTCTGTATGAGTTGTAATATCCAATTTAACCAATGGTTTAAGTTATTGTTGACCTTACAGCCAGTACGAATCAAATTACTTATTGTTATGTTGGCTGTAGTTGTGTGTTTGCTTGTGAATCAATGGCTGTAATTAATTAGAAGAAGAGTAAAATCTGAAACAAAAATGATAAGGAGGAGAGAGTTGAAAAGGTAAAAGAAAAGAAGACAAACTAGAATGAACCAGGGGAAGAAGGGTCTGAGAAAAATGGAGTAAATGCAACTGAAGATTGGTATGATGATGATGATGAAGGAATTAAAAAAAGGTCTTAGGACTCCCTAGTTAGCATCCTCTTAAGTAGCCTCACCAATCCATCAAATGAACAAGATTGACGGCCAACTTGATGGTCTTCATATGGCGAGACTTGATCTCCATCTCTCTCACCAATCAATTGACTTGAATAATTCACCAAACCACATAATAACAAATATATATAAACATCATCATTCTCGTTATTTGACTTTCTTGAACAATAAGAAATCCATCTTCAAGGTGTGTTCAGCTTTGTACAAATACCAAGACTCATCTTCAATCTTCATCTTGTTGGAAACTTCATAACTGCAACCCTGAACATCTGAAGAGAGCAAACACAAAGAGATAAAAAGAAATACTGAAATGTAAATATTTTAAGGTGGAAGTACAAGAAAATATAATTGTAATTCATTAAAAGAGCGAAGATTCAAGTTAATATTAAAAAGTTGACTTCAAATGATTCATCAAAAAATATGCAAACAAAATTTCCAATCAATTGCAAGACATCGATGTATCGAAAAAATTAGGCGCTCATTACATCAAAACATGAATTATTTTGTTTAGGCTTAACAAGTTCATTAGCCTGTTGTTATATGAAATGTTCATCAAGAGGTAATCAACGATGATAAAGACTCTAATTTAAACCATGTAAACCAGAAATTAATAAAATAATAGTTCGCTTCGCTCAGACTAATAATATGATAATAAGAAAGGATGTTTAAGATTGTTAGTTTCATGTTTATGAATATTATTAAAGAGGAGTTTATATTAGGTAGGTTGGATCAACGTGACAATCGTCATCATCAGGTAAGTATATTATTATTATATTAACTTGGATTATTTTATATGTAAATTTTGTTTCTTTGAACCAACTGTCAACCTTTTCAAGGTTTCAGTTAAACTCTTTTATTAATTTAAATGAACAATTAACATGTTCACTGAAATATGATTCCAAGTGATACTCTTCGTGTTGTTACTTATTAAGAGAGCCTCAATTTTTAAGAAGGTGATGTTAAACAGTTTATTTTGTGGACAATTATTTCCGTCATTTTTGCCACCTTTACCTGTTTTTATCTTCCTTTCATCTTCTTACCTTTCCCTCTTCATCATTCTTCATCTTCCTTTATCATCATAATCATCAGTTTCTTCTTCTTTTCTCATGATCAGGTTGATCAACATCTTAACAAGGTAACCAAAAATTGTTCACAAAACTAAACGCTTTCCTTAACCATATAATTTGTTGTCAGTTTGTAATTTGTCAACCTTTAATTGAAAATTAGCTTCCAAATTATTTAACATTTTCACTTTTTGTTTATCTCGTGATTAAGTCAATTAACAGATGAAAATTAAATCTACTCATCTAGACAGAAATTTATATTGATAATAGCAATTATTTAGCTAATCCAACACTTTTGTTTGTAAGCCAATTTGAAGTCAAAAAGCGTTTCATCTCAACGATTTCATTCTGACATTTCAATAAAATTTCATCTAAATCCATTTGTTTATTCCAGCGATTAAAAGACCATCAAAGGAATTTTTGATCATCAGTTTAAATAAAATTAAATGCACTTTGCAGCAACTTTTATATTTCAAATCACAATAACACGGGAAAAGCCAAACAAAAAATAAGATTAGTGCTTTTGTTGATGAGCATTTGTCATATTTGTAAATATGATTAACAATCACCTTTTTATTTACGTTGGTTGAAGGGCTGATTGGTCAATCATGTTTAAATCAATCCAGTTCAGTTTCTTTCATGCACTGAATCGCCTTGAATCTGGATAAAGATATACTTTTTAATGTTGACTTTGATTCTCATCAACGGTATGTTAATTACCGATTAAGATTGTGATTAATAACCAATCAAAGTTTACTCCTGAAAACCACCAAATCAATCAATCGATACTTTTGGCCATCTATTAAAAAGTAAGTTATTAAATGAATCAAAAGATGAAAGACAATGATTATGATTCAGTTTAACTTGTTAACATAAAGACAAGCGTTGTAATCGATTATAATTTGTAAATGATGAGCCATCAACCTTGCGATTAATCAGAAATCACTGAAACCTTGATCATTAACAGGTAATCAAGATAGTTAATGATGTGTTAATTTAAATGAACCATTGGCCAATTGGACTTGATGATCTCTAGTTGACACAAAATGACGCTTAAATTTTCCAACATCTTTTCTTGATAGATTCAGTTTCTTAAACTCTGTAAATGCAGAAAAAAGTTCAATTAGCATATTTTCAAATAAATGGAAAATTGGTCGATTATTAATTAAGATAATTAAAAGACTAACAAGCAAACAGAACAGGAAATTATATCATAGATTTATTACATCCTGTAATGTTTCAATGAAAAAAAATGTTTCCAGTCAGAAAAAAAAACTAAAAGCAAAGTGTTAAAGCTGAATTTCAATTAACTTACAATTCTGAGAAAAAATAAAAATGAAATTTTCTGAACAAAGTTACAAGTTAATTTCACATGATGACATAAAGTTAATATCCAATTGAGGATGCCACGTTTTCAATCCTAAGTGAATCCAGTTAACAAAAGATTACCATTGATATGGCAAGACACAACAGGTTGACTTTTGAACATCTCCGGTTAATTTATGGACAAGATTATGGTTAACATGGAAAATCAATTAAGCCGGCGATTAACATTTTTAAAACTGGCACTACAACAATTAACAAGATACAAGGAAAAGAGACAAAAATTAAAGATTAAATCCAGATTAGCTAATTAAGATTTAAAGACAAAGGATTCGGTCTACTCATCTGGTTGCTAATCACCATTGGTCACCAACTTGCAGCAATCTTGAGCGCGACAAACAAAATGAAAAGCCTAACCAAACAATGTTGCTAATCGCGTTCCAATAAGCTATTAACATAATCACAATATAATTATGGTTAACGATTTAGTTACCATCAGAGGATTAAAAGCGTGGTCCTTCTTTAAATTTTTCAAGTCACTAAGACTCTTAATCATTAATCATTTCCCAAAAGATGATGATCTTGATTTACCTTCTTCTCCGTTTCCTTCAGTTTGCTTTTCCTTGCTTCTTTGGCGGATCATTTTTGATTGCAATGACAATCATTAAGATAATCATTTAAGCTCAATTTAGACAATGAATCCGTCTTATCAAATTAGTAATTAGCTGATAAAGACGACAGAGAATCCAGTAAATGCTGAATCGCAATGGATTTACCTTTAGTCTACCTCAAGATATACTTGTCAACTATTGGGATTAAGTCTTACCCAAAATATTAAAGTTGACAATGAATAATAATCATGTTTCTTATCACCAAATATTTTTCTAGAATTGAAAAATTATCATTTTGATTTATTTGCTTTCCATGTTCTGATTATCAGATTATCAAAAAGTTGTTAACATTACAAGACAAACTACTTGGAGTGAATGAAAATTCACTGTATTATTATTAATCTTATTACCATCTGATTTCTCATACTTAATGATTATTATGATCATGTTAACTTCATTTTCACCTTTTACATTTCATTTTTCACTGGATTATCGCATGATAAAAATGTTGACTTCAAGAGCAGCATAAATTAAGGACCAGAAGAGCCAAAAAACAAGTTACTCTTCTAGTCTTAAATAATCATCATTTAATTAATATTGAGCTAGATTATATTTACCTTGCAATTTACAATTTAAGAAAAAGGTGAAAATGTAAATCTTTGTGAATATAATGTAGAGTGAAAAATGGCCAGAAAATATTCAGAGGCGAGAATAGGAATAGAGCTGAAGTAAAATACAAATCTAGATGATAATTTGATTCACATGTAAATGATAAGTGAATGGTGATGATGACAGGTTGATTTATCCAACAATTAAGTAACAAAGTGAGAAACTAATTTGTGGATTAATTTGAAGCAATTTAAATTCAATCAACTTCTCCCAGCCTTAATAATCGTCCCTAATCATCATCATTATCTTTACGATTCTTCTTTACCTTTGCTATCTCTCTCTCTCCTATTTGTTCACTTCTCTCAGGCCTTTCCTCTCTTACAGCTAAATATCACCATCAACATGATCGTGCTTTAGATTACAGTAAACATTGTATTAACAGCAAACTTATCATTAAGAACCGTTACCTACAAATGATAACTATAATTTAGAGGTTCAATAAAAATACAATTAACTTAACTATTTATTTTTCAATTAACTTACCTTTACTTGAGCCAACATCCAAACCTCTGGCCAATGTATATAATTACAGCAAACGCTTTGAAAATAAACCAGTAGGGTTAAAACACAGAGATTTAGGTAGAAACAATTATGCTTGGTTGATGTATTTGTATTAATTTAAACAAAAACCAATAATTTACCAATTACCAATACACATTATTAAAATTAACTACTGATTAAGAAGTATTTAAAGATGAAATTAATTAAAGATTTAATTTAACTCATTTTGCTTTGAAAATAACCATTCAACGACTAGGCTCAAAGAGCTGTACGCTTTGGCTTGGTGTGTTCAGCCGTTTTTTTGGTTAGTCATTTGGTGGTTAAGAGATCTATTAGACAAATTGAAAAGTTAATTTATTTTAGTGAAATGTCTGATTATTTATCTTTAATTATCTTTTTTTTTAACAAGGTAATGGTGCAAATTTTTGATGTTTTTTTCATCCCCGATCCTTTCACGTTGTCTGTTTCATTCAGAGGAAGCTGTTTCATTGCGTTAACGTTTTCTTGGTGATGGTGATAATGTGACCTGGGAAATAGTCAATGAGCTGTGAAAACTGTTACCTGAGATGAAATAGATATTAAATAATGATAAATGTTGATATTGAATTTCAAAGTTAAAGCAAGAGAAAAAACAAGTTAGGCTGGAAAAAAAGAAATTTACCTTACAATTCTTTAAGGTACAGGTTGAAGCTTGACAACAACAACAACAGGTTAGTAAAGGTAAGAAACGTAAAAATTGTTGAGATACAAGTTTCTCAATTTTTTGTGGTTCCTTTCAGTTAAATGAAATAACTCAAATTGATGTACTTGTTATTTTGAGAGCATTTCTCATATTAATTGTACTCTCAAATTTGGTTAAATGTTTCTCGTCAAGTTAATTTTACTTTTTTTTGGGTTTACTTCAAAGGAACCAAATAAATTAAGACTTGATCTGAATTTGCTGTCATTCACTTGATTTCAACCTTTTTTCATTCACTTGCTACCCACTGACTAATTAACAATCTAATTCTATTTCTTTTTATGTGTAGCTCAGATGAACTTTGGTTTTTTAATGTTCAGCTCAATAGTTGATCAGTGTACTCAAGGATGTGGTTGGTGAAGTCACTTTGAACTTAATTGAGTTATTTAACCATTGACATTAAATTGGACTTCTCAATGAAACTACTTTAAGAGCAGTCACTCTTTTACAGTCGTTTTAATCTTGACAATTCAGTTTATTATTGATTGCTGGTTACCACATTTAACAAATGATTTGGGACAGAGATTTGGTGAAACAATATCTTATATCATTTAATCTTGATGAGAAAATTTGTACAGAATCAATGATTTCATCGTGTCGAAGAAACTCTTGATTTGTTTCTTGATTGCAATTTTGGTCGATATTAATGAACAGGGATTCAGTGAATACATTATTAGTTTTTAAGTAAAAAGATACATTGAAAGTGATAATCGATGGTTAAAAATGATAAAACAATGTAAAAAATAATTTTCTTGAAAAATAATTTACTTTTGCGAAAAAACAATTCTGCTCTTTTAACCCTGGCTGGTACTGATTAAGTTTTTTAAACGTTAATCAAGAGATCATGAATGTAATGAGTAGGGAAAGAGAGTTTTAATTCGTGCTGTTATAAGCTCTATTCAACATAATTAAGTTGAGTTGATCAGGTAAAACAGAGTGAACCTTTGATCATTGAAGTTGTCGGATGGAGACAACATAAGATATGATTAAACAGCTATTCGTCAACATTTCAACTGTAAATCAAAGTTATTCAGTTGGAACAGTCTGTTAATTGTCATCAATAATGGAAACCAATCAATTGTGTTGAACAATTGACAAAAATGTTACATCTTCAAAGTCTTTCTTTAGTCTTTTGTAAACCAAAACCATTCACAGGTTTCTGTAACTTACAATTAACTTGTGATGTGGGTTAATTCAGTTATATCACAATAAGTTAACTAATAACTTTAAATATTCTTCCAGTGATTAAAGATCGTTCCTTGATGCACACGGTGATTTTTCACAGGATCCAAACAGTGACCGACACTTATCGATTTGTTCAATGACAGTGGCCAACCTGGACTTTAAAATATTTGCATTGCGATCAGGAAGAAAGGGCAAGTTGTGCGTTTTAGGATTATATCCAGATTTATTGAGACTATGGCGAAGAAGTTGAATGAGATTTCCATCTCGATGCAGCTTCTCCAAGGCTTCAACTGTTGATCGACGAAAGACACAAGTTCCATTGAGGAGTTTCCTATGGAAAGGTTCATACTTTCGAAGAAGGCGATAACCATGAAGAAGACCTGATTCATTGTCTAAAAATAACAGTAATCCAGTTGATTTGACTTTGACAAGATTATGAGCTGGTGAATCCATCATGTCAGGATTCCACTGGCGGTTAAACATATTGTTAACTATTCTGTCCAAGTTTGCAGTTAAATAATCAAAAACTATCAAGTCTGACCATTGAGCTAAATCAGCAAGATAGGGAAGATTGATTGAACTTTGATTGGTGTTATTGTTATTCCCAGTTAAACTAGTGCCAGGAATTAAATCATCAACTACAGGATACAAGGTTGGTTCAGATGAACGTCGTAAACTGAATGGTATAAAGGCTGGAACTAAATCGGGTACCCATTGGGTGACAACAACAGACTTATCGGTGGACCATTGAGCTAGATGAAGTGAAGGTTTTACTTGATCCCAGACTGGATTTAAACCAACTCGTTGTGAATTGGGAAGCGATGAAGTTGTTGAAGATGATGATGATGCAGATGAAGATGATGTCTTACGAAGTCTTGATAGTGCTGCTGGAGGTAAATTGGCGATTCCCAGGAGACGGGCCAAGTGAAAACTAAATATATCACCTTGTATTTGATCGTTATTTTGACGGTGACGGACACAGGACAAGATTCCGTCTTCAAACATGACTAGCCTATTGGATTGACGGCCACAGCCTTCAGATACTTTAATTGCTGGCTTCTCAGAAACCATAGTTAACCAGCGATTGTCATCGCCACTGTTGAAACCCTTTGGGAGTTGAGATTCAATTTCACTTGACCAGTAAATGCCATTTTCAATAATATCTTCTGGAAGAGTTTTACTGTTCACTTTAGTATTAATGTTTTCATTAATTGACCATCCTGTTTCTACATTGTTATCTGTGGATAATGAGAATGATAAAAGATAAAGAAAATAACAATTATTTTGACCATCTTAATGTTGGTTAAAAAACAAAAATCATAGCAATCAATCAATGAATGAGAAACATCAATCATCTCTAAATCATCAGAGAGAAGCTTTCTTAACAAGGGAAACTCAGAGTGCAAGATAAGTTCAAGAATTGTATAAGTTAGCGTTAAATGAGATTCAATGGTTTCAACAAGAAAAAAAGAAATGTCATCAACGGAAAACAACTAATCAATCACTGAAAATCATCGCTTATTAACTGGCTGATTCAATTGAACATTGGATCGGTAGAAGCTATCTTTATACTGAATATAAGTCGGAAAACTATCTGATTGGTAATTAATGAAATCAAATTTGATACACTTTAAACCCTTGAATTGGTCAGTTGAAGATTTTGAATGAACAAATCATTTGGAAAGTCAACTATTATTTTTAACCATTTGTGAATGAAAAGTTTTAATTAAATTTATCATTAGATATTGAAGGTAACATGTGAAGGTTAATGATGAAGATGGAAAGGTCTGTTACCTGGAAAGTAATAAATCTTTTGCGTGAATTTTCAATGATTTAAGGTAAGAAAAAGGATGAAAAAGAAGGTAAACAAGCCTAAGTTGAATTGATTAATCAATGAACGACCAACAACATTTCTGGTATATGAATCAAGTCTATGGAAATTTTTAGGAATAAAAACAAAGATTATTTACTCTTATGTAAAGCTAAATGAGGTATTATTATACAATGAGAAAAAATCCATAAGCTATGAAAAAAGCGATTAACAGAAAGACGACCATTAGAAGAGCAAGCAAAAATGAGAAGAAATAATTATCAGATGAAAAATGCTTCAGGGCTAACTCATGATGGACAGCATCTTCTGATCCAGCTGATTTTACAGCGAGAGATAAACGGAAAATTGTAATTAGCAGTTTTAATCAATGACGGTGAAATTTTTTGAGCTCGTTAATTTGCCTTTTAGGTTACACAATCTTTCGTTTCTTTTTGTTGTGGCAAAAATTTGGGTTGATACAATGGAGTGTTGCATGAAAAGCTTTTTGTTGTTTACGTAGGAATTCGGTAAAGGTAATGGTGATGGTAATGATGCTGGTAAACCATAAGATTGGGAAACAAAATTGAAATTGAAACTTACCTTCAAAAGATAGGCAATCAACAAATAAGGTACACAAAAAGATGAAGTAAACATTTGTTTGAGTAACGGTGAACAACTCCATATTAAATAATCCTTTGGACTATGGATCACAAATAATTTGACAAAAATTACAAGTTGAAATCTATTAGCTTTGAATAATCCGCTTTGAACTGGGGATTAAGTTTGAAAATCTGGTCATTTCGATGAAATTTTAAATTCGGTAGACGATTGTTTATGGTGATTATAGCTTGAGCTACACACAATCTTGAAAGTGTTATAAAATCAAGATGACAGGATGAAATGAGATGTCTCGAGATGATCCTGTTAGCTTGTTATAAAGGTATAGATGAATAAACACATGTACTTCTCTCAGAAAAGGTTACATTATGATGAGGAAATAAGATGACGATACATTTTATCATATAAATGAGAAAGATTTGCGTAAAGATTGAAACTTGGATCAACTGGTAGCAAAATTTGAAGACATTTACACGATTTTTAAGTTGTTGATGTTGATGTTAACTTGAAGAGCACATCCACTCGCAACAAGGCCAAATTGATCTCTGTCTTAAGCAAAAACATAAAGATGGTAAATGTGAAGAAACTAGTTAAAGGTTGGGCTCTTGGATAAAGGACCAGCCCAACAAGCTTTCTTTCATCTTGTTGATGATTCTTGACCGCCTCTTCAAGAGTTTCTTCAAGCTTTTCCTTTTCACATTCATTATTCCAAAGTCAATGTTTAAACATTATTATTTGATCCCATTATTTTAGATTTGATTAACTGGTAAAATTAGAGAAAAAATTGCCAAAAAGTAAATGAAAAAAAGTAAGAACACTTTGTTATTTTCATCTCAACACAAATATCAATAAAAGGATTGATCGAGTAACAATTATTGGTAGAGTTTCTTGTCCTAGTGTTGGAATTCACAGCATTGTAATAAATTTAGCACAAAGATAAAACTAGGGTTTAACTGGAATATGAGAAATTCAACACAATTTAAACAATTAAGAAAAGTGTAATCTTACGAATAAATCAACTCTTTGTTTTTATAAAACGGTTGAAACCATCAGATGGCTCTTCAATCGTTGAAACAATAAAATTTTTTGCAGATTTTATGTTTTCTTATTTTTGTGTGAAACAGTGTTTTACATTAAATGGACAATTAATAAATGTTTTAATTACTTATTCCAGTGATCCACGTTATAGTCTACTATTTTCAATTTAATATGTTTACAAAATCCTTAATTTTGAAATTACCTGACAAGGTTTTATTGTTTTCTTTATAGTTTTGTATTTGCAAGTTATTATCATTCTCATCTATTTTTCACTGCCCATTAACCTGTGAGCATTCAATTTGCAAGTGATCTCTTCATTGAATCCTGATTTTTATTCATTATATTTCTCTTCTAGTGTGAACCAAGGTTAAACAGTTGTATAACAATCAAATTCATGATCCTCAGGTTTGTGTTATTATTACATTCAACAGTAGCTTTTGTCCATTTATGATCTTGTTTACAAGTTTACAGGCTTGCTATTCAAGAAATGCCTTTTTGGTTTTATGACTTTCTTTATCATCGTTATATCAGCTTTTTTTCTCTCTAACATTAAAGTTAAGCTGTTGAATTATTCTGGATACAATGTTTCTATCAAGTCTTTGGCTAGTGGAATAAATGAACTGTTTGAAGTTTTAATTATAATGAGAGCGCTTTGGTCATCCAATAAAGCCCAATTGAGAGGTATTACATCAAACGCCTGCATTTATCCCAAAGTAACCGATAATTAAACCAAGTGAAAGACTAAATGGAAACAAAAAAGGGAACGAACTGGATAATTGGAATCTGTTGATAGGTGAAAAATTGATTGCAATGTTTATTGAGATCTCTCTGAATTGCAATCTTAACATCAGTAATTGTTAGCTGTTGACAACATTATTCACTTGTGAGGCACCTTTTATCATCATATATATTTTAAAACAATTTAAAACTCAAATGGAAAAAAAGGTTAATAACAAAATTTTCTGTCTATAAATTGTTTTTGATTGTTTTGCCTAAGGTTATTTGAGATTTTGATTGCATCTCTTTTTTTTCTCTTTAGAATGTTGCCTTTTTTTATATTTTTTACCTGATATTTCTCTTGAATTTCACTAATTAGAGCTTTTATTTCCTATTTGTTTCTTTTAGATCCTCAAGAAAGATCATGTAACTATTTCAAAGGTGCAATCAATGGAGATTGAATCGCATGTCTCAATATTTGACAGATCATTGCATGTTGATTGGCAGTGGACGATGAAAAAGATGATGAATAATGAAATGGGCCTTAAAGAAAGGTGTCTCTCGATTATCAACTATCACCATTATTTTTCTCGGATCAAGCCAAATTAACCCTCATTTTCTTGATGACGGACATGATAACAGTTGGACAAAGAGACAGACAAGTGGACGGAAAATTTTGACAGTATATTAAATAGATTCACAAGAATCATTGGACCATTAAATGTGAATTTTCATACCGTCTAAAGGTTAGGTGTTTATTTTTCTGCTGATGTATATTTTTCATTTCACATGCAAACATCAGTCAACAGAGGAATTTACCTTCTTGACCTTATCTTCTAATCCATCCAGTCCAAGGCACAGTGGGGACAAAGGTTGTTGGTCCGAAACAAATAAGCAAGAAAAGAAAAGAAAAGAAAGGTTAACAGTTAAAATGACAATTCACCGTCATTTATCATTTGGAGGATTATCTTTGATTGTTGATCTTCCTGTCTCGCGGTTCCACCAATTTTACCATCATCATCAAGCAGCATTACCATCAACCTCATCAACAAGGAAAACAACGACCTTTAACCTTCATTGATTAATGTTTGATTAACAACAATCAAAACTGCAAAGGGCCAAGCCAAGCTTGCATCAATCAATGGAGTTGAAATCTGTTTACCATTGTCAAAATATTTAGCGAGATATTAATTTGATTCCTAGATACGCTGTTATTAATCAGATACATTTTGACAATTTCATGTTTCTCTTTCGTCTCAAGTAATTACCTGTTAGATCAATTAATTAACAGTAAAAAAATTTAAAGTGAAATGCTACTTAAGAGGAAAAGGTAAAATTGTTAAAATCTTGCAAAATTATAACAAAGTTGAAGAAACAAAATTAATCAAGTTAAATATCCAATTACATTTGGAGAGCATTTAAAATGAAATAAATGTTCAACAATTAATCCTAATTACAAATTATCTTGAATCGTGATCAAACAATTCTAAATTGAAATCAATTTAACAAAAGTAATAATACAAAAACAATAATTGTTTTTTTTTCTTTCCTTTTTATCCTTTTCCTTTGTTTTTCTAGGTAATTAATTTAGTTGACCTCAAAAAGCCACAAGGTAATCATGTTCATATCATTAAGGTAATTACCTTTTACTTTCAAAGAGTAAAAAAGTCACGTTCAAGGCTGAATTCACAGTTAACTGGGAAAGTTAATGGTCAAAAGTATGTACCAAGGGTCAAAGGGAACAAGATGAAACATGAAAGACGAACAAGAGAGTCAAAGGAAGGTGAAAAGGCAAGGAAAGAAACAAGGTTAACCCGTAGGCGAAACAGCGTATTTCACTGATTCCATTTCAAGGAAAGTGATTAGCTTCTGTGGTCTATGGACCTGAGCAAAGTATTAACAGAAAAAGAAACGAAAAAAAGCGAAAAGTAAAAATGTAAAGCAACAAGGTTTTGCGGCTCAAAATTAGAAACAGCAAGGCGCATCAACAACAGTCAACAAGACAGAGTAAAGCAAGCAAAAGTTGATTTAGTCAATCAATAGCCCGAGAGAAAGAATCTGGTTAATTTAAAGGTTGCATCGCCAATAGGAAATGAAGAAATGAAAGAAACGATGATGAGAATGGAAATGAAAAAAAAGGAACAGTTCATTCCAATAAAGCCTTAAATTTTCAAGTAATCGAATCAAATAATTTTCAATTCTTTTCCAATTAACAGATTACACAAAAAGATGTGTATCTTAAGGTGCAGTTAAGAATGTCCAAACCACATTTAGATTAAAATAAAACTATTAAGGTAAAGGTAAGCCAATTAAACTTTACCAATATTACCAACTTTTAATGTACCAAACTAATCAGTGAATTTTTCTTGATGTTCAATCATCTAATACCGCAGTAATCCTAATGCTAAAAAGTCTTAAAACTTTCAAGTTGAACTTACATGTTAATAATCAACTAATTAGTCGTTATCAAGGGACGAATACAAATATTTCGACCTATCCCAGCACAAACGAGGTATTAATAGATGACAACGTAAACTATGGCTGTAACACTAATTCAATAACTAAAAACTTGAAAGTTAACAAAAATTGTCTAATCATGAGTTGAATTGTCATTTTTGGGCAAAATGCGAAAAATTAATTGCAAAAAAATACTTTTCCCTCAAAATGCATTCACATTATTTTAAGTTTTTGTCCTCTGTAACGGTGTCAGTTAGGTGGACTACAAACATGGAATTACGAAGTTTACAATTGAACAACTTGAAGGCTTTCCAAAAATCATTTAAACTTTTGCAAACATTTTTGATTGAATTCATTTTGCAACGCCCTCTCTTGTATAAGAAAGAAACTAGAAAGCTTCAGCTTTAGTCTCGTATTCACCCAACGAGAATAAGCTTTGATTCAGAGATTAAATTTATCAACCTGTTTTTGTTAAGTTGAAATTATTTGAGAATTAGCAAAACGAAAGGCTTGACAAAGAGTCATTTATTTTACCCGTTAGAATATTTTAAGCCCAAAAAAGTTCAAAATTTCTTACCGACGACCATGCATCTCTCTCCAGCGCAAGGACTCAAATTTTACGAATAGATTTGAAGATGTATCAAGAATTCAAGCTTTAAGGAAAGGAAAAGCCAAAAGCCAAAAAATGTTTAAAATTTTCGTACTGATCACCATTTATCCCTCGTTAGAACACATATAAGCTTAAATCACAGCTGATCAATCTTATTTTGAAGTTAATGTTTTGATTTACAAACCGAAACAAATTATTCTTAAGTTAAATGTTGATTCCTCAGCTCGGATAATGCCCGATTTGATCCAGCATTTTAGTCAAGTGTGGATCAAAATTTGACCGCAGCAGTGACTTTAATTGTATTTTTATGTTGCTTTTGGCGCTAATTAATTTTTGTTTTTGTTCTAAATGGATGAATATTTATTCGCTTTCAGTGTGTGCTGCCGTAGGAATCCACAAAAAAATGTTACTAAAAAGTGATCTTGTACATTTGATAATTTTGAATTCCATTCACTGTCTAATCTCATACAAGAGGAAATAGAAATATTAAAGAAAAATTATAATAAGAATGCAGTATTGCCTTTTAGAGTGCTAGCCAAAAAAGATAAAATATTGATACAGAAATAAAGATGAATCCGCTTTAGAGATATACCGACCAAGAAGATAAGTAACTTGAACGGAACAAATTCTGAATCAAATTATCGTTCAATAAATAAACATGAAAATAACAGAAGAATATACAGCATCGAAAGTAAAGTTAGAGCTGGTTACGTTATCTTTTGCACATTGTTTGGTAACCAAGCATATATAAATATATATTGTTGCTAAAAGAAACATTTCCAGCTCAGAGAGAGATAGAGAGAAATTTTGTCTTCGTTTTCACCCAAAAATTCAGTTAAATTGACTATTACACTATTACATATTGTATCTAGGATGACAATAGAATGACAATTGATTACTTGAACAGTTATCATTATTATACTCATCTTGATCATTGTAAAACTTCAACTTTCCTCTTGTTCCAGATGACCAAGTCAAAACAAATGATAATCCCAATTATTTGGCGACAATCAAACATTTCATCCTTAAATCCTGTGAGAGGAACCACAAGTTTATATACAGGGCTATTCAGCTATCTTTACCGATGTTAAACGGCTATATCTTGGCCTTTGATTGACCTTGAGGGGTCAGATTTTTTATAATTAAATTTATACTTATTTGATATATTTCAAGGTCAAGGTCATTCAAGGTCATTTGTCGGAAATCGCTCCTAACGCTATTAGAGGTCAACCAAAGGTTGCATAATAATTTTCAAAAATCAAGGTCAAGATCAAAAAGATCAAGAACAAAAGAAACGTTGATTAGTTATATTATTTCGCAGAAACGATTAGGCCCACATTTGATTGGAATATTCGATGGAGGATGAATCGAGGAATACATTCAGGTAAGGTTAATGTTACATCTTTCCCATTAGCCTTTATAAGTTGACTTGATGAGAGACTTTACATTTGTTGATGTTTTGATAAACTCATTGTTATCAGTCTACCATTCCAACTCGTGAGCAATATGAAGGACAATTGATGTTCAAAGCACTGCCTTATAAATTGGCCACCATTCATTGCTTGCGACTACCATTTTCTCGTCGAGTCCAGTTAGATTTGACTGCAATGGTATCAGGTTTGACGAAAAGCACAGCACTTGCTGCTTACTTTAATGGATCCAAAATCAATGCGTTCTCAGATAAGCTATTAAATTTCAATTATGCCGAGGAATTAGATTTGTTAATTCCGCTGTTTACTCAAATACCTTCAAAAATTGTATTCTGTCATCAAGATCTGAATCGGTTGAACATTTTGATTAGAACAAGAAACAGTGACGATTCTTATAGAGGATGTCAATAATAATGACCTTGAATGACCTTCACCTTGAAATATAGCAAATAAGTATCGGCGAAATTTAATTGTAAAAAATCTGACCCCTCAAGGCCATATAGCCGTTTGACATCGGTAAAGATAGCTGAATAGCCCTGTATTTGTAATGGATATAAAAAAGAAGCGAGAAAATCAAATATCAATAAACTAAACTTTAACACAAAACAAAATGGACAAACAATTTCAATCTTTTCCTTTAACATTGAATCAATATTTTTTTACAATCAAATTATCAAATTTACCAAAACATTGAACAACCATCTGAATTGGTGAAACAAAATGAAACTGAAAAGCCATCGATTCCATACAAACTCAAGTTTACATTTCTGTTTAATCAAAGCCAATTTCAATTCATCTATCAATGAATAATTGTTTCCGTAACATTAACATGTTTAATGGTTTCTATTGAAATTACAATCACAACAATCGATGTTAAATTTCAATGTAAATGTTGAGACTTTGAAAGCTAAACATTAACAATTTATGCTTTTCAAGTTACACTTTTCGTGAGGAAAATTAATCAATGATCTTGTTAACTGTAACAATTGTGATTGATGATTGTAACCACAAAAATGAAAAGATAATTAATAGGAACAAAATTGAAATAATAAATGTCAAAATAGCCGTTAGATGTGCATTAGATGTTAATAAAATTATAATTTACTTATCACACTGTATTTGGTGCAATCTCACAATTTACCCATTGTATCCTTTTAATATATTTGAATTATTAACACAGTCAAATAACAGGGAAACAATTGAAGAGTAACAGTTAATTTGATTAAAGTTAATAATAACAAGATTAAAACAATTAGATTGTAATCTGACAAGAAGTAGAGCAACGAAAAAAAGTCTCCAAAATGAGCTCAACTTGAAGGAGTGAAAACAATCTTGACACAAATCTTTAATTTTCATATCAAGAGATGAATTTAATTATGAAAGGATGAAGACCAAAAGAATGGGGAAAACTGCCTAGCGAGGAATATTTTTGTTATGAACATATCAGATTTAAAATTTTACGCTGATTTCATTCATTCAATTTATTTTTCGAAATAATTTTTGTTTTCGTGAAAACGTGAAAAAACATTAAAAATTCATGAGTACGAGCGTCTCAGGAACCAAAGGTGAAACCACGCTAAGAATAACTTTTTCTGATGTAGAATTTAATTCTAATTCCAATGATGTGATTAATTTTTGATCTAAACTGACGCAAAACTGGCCATTTTTTCGATAATTTGATTATTTCGAAGATTTTTTGCGATAATGGCCAGTTTTGCGTCATTTTAGATCAAAATGAATCACATCATTAGAATCAGAATTGAATTTTACGTCTGAAAAATTTATCCTCAGCTTGGTTTCACCTTTGGTTATTGATCTGTATTTTCAATAACGGAGAACTGGGGACAGGCGTCGCTGGAACCAAAGGTGAAACCACGCTAGGAATAGATTTTTTGCCTGTGAAATTCAATTCTGATTCTAATGAAGTGATTCATTTTGATCTAAAGTGACGCAAAACTGGCCATTCTCGCAAAAAATCTTCCGAATAATCAAATTATCGAAAAAATGGCCAGTTTTGCGTCATTTAAGATCAAAATGAATTTCATTATTGGAATCAGAATTGAATTCTACATCAGAAAAATCTATTCTTAGTGTGGTTTCACCTTTCATTATTCTGGTACTTTTTTCCATGAATTGCAAACTTTTTTTCATGATATCTCGAAAACGAAAAATTGTTGCGAAAAATGGGTTGAATAAATGAAATCAGTATAAACTTCTGCATCTGATGTGTCCATAACAAAAAATTCCATTTCTTAGGCAGTTTTGGCCTTCCTCCTTATTTTGTCGTAACATATTCTGGAGATAAAGGGAAAGATGGAGCCCGTAGAGGTGATTCTAGTTCAGGGAAGCAATCTCAACAACCTGGTGTATCCAAAATGGATACAAGTCAAAATAATGAAATAAAAACAACAAAGAAAGAAAGCGATTCTTCCAATGACCAAATTTCTCCCAATCAATCGAAAGCTACCCCAAAAGAAAGTAAAAAATCTGATAATCAGAGAGTCAGAAATAAAGATCGACCCGCTTTAGAGATATATCGACCAAGAAGAGCTCGCAATGCGACGAGTAACTCGAACGGATCAAATTCTGAATCAAATGATCGTCCTGAAAATAAGCCAGAAAGAAACATGAGAAAAACAAAAGTATATACACGATCGCGTAATACTGATTAGGATTGTTGTATTTTGGATTGTTTATACTTACCGATATTATTTGTAAATATGATATTATAGTATCATTTTTGATTACGATAATCGGAATCGAATGTCTAAAGCTTTGGATAAATATTGAATTAATAGGTATGAAATTACAAAACTTGTGTACAAACTTTTTTCAAAAGCTCTTCATATGAAGCGTAATTTATTGTGATTTACATGAGCCATTTCACTTTTTCTTTTAATCATAACTAGTAAAATTAGTGATTTGATGGAATTGTAAACAAACTGGTTGAGTTTATTCTGTCACAAGAAAATATAGTTGACTATAAAATATTATGAATGAAGAGAATATAAGCCAAAATAAATGAATTGATCAGACAGAATGTAAAAATGGGAAACTAGACGATTTCAGTCATTTTTTGGACAAAAAACTTTAAAATAATGGGCGTTTCTTTTGTCTCCTGTTAGATGTCCATGGATTTAAAACTTGTGATTGCAAAGATCCAC